CCTATAAGTCAAGTGTGGGATAAACAAACTCAGGCTGTCAGTGATAGGAAACAAGAAACACTATATATATATATTCTGTGGACAGCCAATTTTAATTGAGAAAGTCAGGTACTTGTCAGAGAGAAAGAAAAACAGAAGAAAATAGAAAAATAAGGTATATCAGAAAATAAGGGTTGACTTACTCTTTCCCAGCTATAATTGAGCTTAGGGAAGGAGTAGTCCTTGAGTCCAAGAGATGAATGAAGTATAGCGCTGGAGGCTGCTTAGTATAAGCATACTATTCTTTTAACCTGGTCCAACGTGCGCAACTGTACCTTTTTACAGTTTCACCTTACCCCACCATGTGCTCTCTCAAGTCTAATAACCTTTTGAACTTATTCTTTATATGTTGCAGTATGATATTTATGTGTGCACAATGGTATCTCAAACATTTACAACACCAAAACAACAGAAAAACATCCTTCAAAAGCCTTTACCAATTCCTACTACAAACTTATCAACTTCAAAAATGTCTTGTCTGAGAGGCATGAACTTTCAAATGGCACCCTACCACAGTTTTGCTATTGGAATCTCCCTATACATTCAGTTGACTGCTACTGCTACTTTTTTTAATTACACTTTGGTAGTAGATGATCAAAGTTGGAAATATGGTCATTTAGATGAATACTTTATGTTGGGACAAGGAAGATGTGTGCAATGGGATTCAAACCCATGACCACCTCAATCCAGAAGGATTCTCTAACTGCTTAGCTACACACACTTGGTGACTGTCAGACTTGCAGGTGTAATGGCTATCACATGGTTCAACTCAACTCAACAGCTCCCCAGACTGTCAGGGAGTGGCTCCTGATAGGCCCCTTCCTGGCTTAAATTTCAGTCTACACTGGTCACACCCAAGTGTAGACTACAGTTAGATGACCTCTTATGAGAGGATTTAAGGAGGACTAGTCCTTCTTGGACTGGGTTGATGGTTAAGGAGAGCTACAGTTGAGCACAACAACTGCCTAGCTCCAATCCTTATTCTTTTATGCAGGTGCTCACTGCCAAGATATTTGTATCGGATGGGCCTATCCGATACAAATATCTTGGCAGTGGCTCTTTTTCTGCTTTAGGTTATTTATCTCTGCCTTTGTGAGTCCTTACTGACAAAGGGTCTACAAGACTCTGAGGTTTACCAACCTGGCTGTTGATCTCTAGTTACTTACACCTATAACCCTTTGCACTATTGAGCAGATGACTTTTATTATAAATATCCTCAAATATGTGCTATTGGGTAATTTAGGTGGTTGTGGTAAAAGGTGAGGGGAGGGAACAACTCCTGAGCAGGAGAGAGGGAGTTTATATACCTTTCAAGTTACCTCCACCTTCCTTTTAGACTATGGGCTGACTTGTGGTTCAGGCTCGTGCTTCTACAGGGCTATGTGGGCCAACCTGTGGTTGGTTACCCTACTGACAGGACCTGTTATTCAGCTCCTGTCATAAGTATACTATGCTTATGACTCTGGAGACTGAGCCTGAGATGTGATTCCATTGTTACACTTACTTATTACATATGTAATACATATATTATGCTCTGCTTCTTCTTATGTTCTTACTTGTTACACTCATAACACCTATGACATATGTAATGTGGAAACCAGCACCTGTACACTAAGGGTCAGCTTCAGGTACTAGCTAAGACTAGTGGACAGTTGGTGGAGGTGGAACAAAGAGAGAGAAAAGATAAAGAAAGGGAGTCTCTCTCTGGCACCACAGATCCACAACAAATAGTGAGCTCTGACGCAATACAAACATGCAGACTGTACAGCTACAGGAATGTTAATAATGGGAGTGGAATCCCTTTCCAGTTCTTCCATAAGTTCAACACCCCCCCTCATTCCTGGCGACGAGTTGTCAGTGTGCTTGATGTTGATTATTGAATAGTTTTTAAGTTTTTCTCTAACTTGACTCTAGTAAGTGATTTTGTGAGCAGGTCGGCTTGCATGTCTTCAGTTGATATTTGATCAAGGCGTATCTTCTTGTCGTTGATGGTTTCACGTCAATGTGTTTCGATCTGGCATGGTGGCATGGGTTGTTAGCTAGCTCTCCGGCCCCTTTGTTGTCGTAGTAGATGATCTTGGCATTCGGATTGTCAATGCCGAACCATTTTTTTTTGTTCAAAAACCATATTCATCAAACTTCGCTCCACACCAACTCTTACTCTATTTTAAAAAAAAATTGAATTCGTAAAAACCAATCTGCCTTCTTCCAATTATTTTTTTTTTTTTTTTTTTTACAAGCCAAGCTCTCTTATTGACCTATTATCCCCTTTTTTCCTTACAAGATGTTGAAAAATCAAAAAAACAACCAAAAAATCACACAAATCAAAAAAATTGTACAGAAGGGCAAAGGGCCAGTAAAGAAGATTGTGTGTTCTCTTGTGCTCATAAAGTTTAATCTAAAACTATTGAAACCGAGGTCCACACTGTTGAAGATTGGAAAGAAAAAAAAAAAAAAACACTTTTTTAACTCAAAAGATGATGCATAGTTGAGCTTTTGAGATGTAATACATTGCACAGAGTGTGATCTCTCAAATCTTTCAAAATAAATTTAAATGTACTCTAAAACGTCACGGTACATTCACAATTCACAATGGGATTGTATCCATCTATCAAAACTTTACATAGCCAACGACATAAGTGATCAAATTATAAGTCACTCATTGTGTGTAATTTCCTTTCAACGCATTTTCAAAACTTGTGAATGCCAACGTCGGTTTATAGTTATCATCAAATAGAAGAGCATCACCATAATCTGTTTTTTTTTTTTTTTTTTTGGATCACCGGAAAAAAAAATATGATTTCAAAACTCATTAGTCAGTTAACATATTTTCATTCAATCTTAGGAAAATCCCCTTCCCCCCCCCCCAAAAAAAAAAAAAACTACACGTACTGTGGTAAAATCCGGGTACCCAAGAATCATTATATCCTACACCCCAAACAGTAACACCCTTACACTTTGGGGTTTCAGCACAAGCTCTCACAATAGTAGAAAAATCTTTAGCTTGTTGAATAAAATCCGACTGTGAAGGTGGTAGAGGAATTCTAATATCGACTTCTGTGTATGCGACTTCAAGACCTATAAAAAAATAAAACAAAATAAAAAATAAAATAAGAAAAAATGATGATGATGATGAGAAAAGAAAAAAAAAAAAAGCTTAGTAATAGAATTTAGAGAGCGCTTACCTAGATCCACAAAACGTTTGAGGGTCGCTTTCAAATCTTTTTTTTTTTAAGAAAAAGATAAAAAACCAAAAAAAGATCGAAAAGTTAGGAGAAATCCCAATGTATCTATCGTAAACCACATTATCCTTTTTTTTTTTTTTTTTTCAAGATTAAAGACTTACCTTCGAGAGATGGTACTTTACCTACAATTAAGTGGGCTTGGAAACCAACACCATGTAATATCTGTTTGCTGGCTAGGTTTTGGGCAATTTTATAGTATGTATCTGTTTTTGCACCGGGTCCTTCAACACCGTAATCATTAACTAAAGAGATGATAGAGTAAACAAACATGAAACAAGAACATATTTTATTTGAATATTTATACCACTAGTGGTCATTAATCACTTTTTTTTTTCAAAAAAAAAACTGAATTAAGTACGAAAATACTCAACTATATAATTTGATCTTGGTTCCTGCATCAATAGCAGCTTGAAATGCCATTTCTATGTAAGAGTCGCCCAACTTTTTGAACCAAAATGAATCCCTAAGGTTTCCATCATCACCTACAACTTCATTACAAACATCAAAAGAGTATAAATCATTTTTGTAATGTTGTAAGACAGTTTTAATATGATTTTGAGTAGCAGTTATGAGAGCTGGTGGATCGAGCTGTTCTAAATACTTTGAATATTGCTGGTGCCTATATACACACATCCGTCGAACGAAAAACATGGGTAAGTCAATCGGACAAAATTATAGAATAGACTTCAATAGATGAGGTTTTACCAGACAGCCGTATGTCCTCGCACTTTTTTCTTATTGTCTTTCGCGAATTTTACGACTGCATCTCTATGTGAGCAAAACGTCATAGAGCAGCATCTTCAGTTTGAAAGTGATGCTCGAAAACTTGGAGCAACGAGCTCTGTAGCGAGGAAGGGCATTCAATCAGGGGTTCTCTTACGCGTCCGCAAATGTGAAATTTCCTTGTGTTTTCTCCGTTGCATCCCACTTCATCACTACACAAAAGTCAAAGTTGAATAGTTGGTTTCCATGGAATAAAAGGTAGAAAAAAAAGAAAAAGAAAAAAAAGCGGTTTGGGAATGATCTATGAATGAATTCAAAAAAACAAAATCAGCTCACCATTTCCCGGGGTCATAAATTTAAAGTCTTTTTTAACTATTTTTATATACTCTTGATTATCATAAAGATAAGGTTTATCGACTGCAGTTCCTGCGTAAAGTCTTGATTTATGGCAACCTTCGGTTCCTGGTAAATGGGTTGGATTAGCATTCTGGTGCGAAATCGCATTGATTGAGGTCAAATTAGTAGTGAGAGTACCATTGGGAGAGCTTTGGTTTTGATTAACGGTGTCAGGCTTTGAGTTTGTTGGCGTATACATCCTTCTGATAGAGCTCAATCTACGTCCTTCCGTTTTAGTGAAGCAGCATGACAATATACCAGTGATCATCAGGATCGAGAAAGAATGAATGGTTGATTGACGCATCCTTAATGAGCAAAGTAGAAAGAATGTCTTGACTTTGAGGAAAAAGGGAAAACGAGATTAAGATAGAACGAGTAGGGTAAAAAGGCAAAGAAGAATTAATGGTTTCTATGACCTGCTCAACAAGAAAAAAGAATCCCGTTACCGGCGGGAGTGACAAAAAAGTGAAATGTGGGTGGGTGTCGAAAATTTAAAGGTCAGTTCTTTAAAATGATATAGCCCGGTCACTGGCCTGTCAAGCTCGGTCGTATTTAAAGAGTTTTGAATGAACTTCAGACTCAGACCATCTTGACCCGCTGTCTTAAGCACACCAAGTCCTTCTCAGCGAATGGGATGGCGCGAGAGCCTTTTTGGGGCGTTTCGGGAGGTGACTTGACGACCCAGTCTCCAATCGCATCATCCAGTTGTATGGGGCCACAGAAGGTACGAGAGATTGGTCATGGGTCTGTTGTGAGGCTGAATCTGACTGAACCGACGCTCGGACGACCTGACGGTAAGTCACCACAAGGTACATCGATGTTCGTTTGCCGTCTTCCATGGGACCCAACACTTTCCAAATTTCCAAACACCTGCCTATGGTAGAACCTCTATGCTGTTATGGCCGGAGACAGGTGTACAGGTTCACCTGATCGACAAAGCCCAGGTCAGGTTGAGAACCTACTCAACCCTGGACACTCTAATGGATTGGAAAAAGGTCATACGGCGGCCATTTTCCAGTTGCGAACCGGTCATTGCCCACTATATGATTACCTGTATCGATTCAAACGATCACCTACGCGATACTGCAGAGAATGTGGGGTGCCCGAGACGGTATCCCACTTCCTGCTCTTTTGTCGAAAGTACCGAAAACAACGAGCAGCCCTCCGACGAAGAGCGAAGGAAGAGAAAATCAAGACCAAACCACTTTACGACCCGAGGAAAATCTTAGACACCTCGGCCATTTTCCCTCTGTTGGCCGACTTTATTACTAGCGACTGGAAGGTTTGAACACTTGTGTTCTTATCTACCAGACCAAGACCCCACTTAAATAAGACCCGTAGATTGGTTTCACCCTTC